GGAGCACATCAACAAAGGGAAAAACACTTTTACCCAAATAGCATACATCCTGCTAATCAGTCTGGAGACACTGGTATCTCAAACTGCTGCATAAAAGTCAGCTGGATATGTGTGCTGGGTAGAAAGTAATCAATTTTTTTGCCAAATTCCGTCAGATAAAGTTCAAATGTCAGAATACATCCAACTCATACAAAAAATGGTGCCATGCCTAATCATTACCACCACCTTCCTATGCAAATCAATGGTTTATAAAAACAATATAAATTATCATTTCATACAACTAAGGAACCTACCACATAGCACTAGTTTATTGCTGTGATAACCATTCAACAATTCATCATAAGGGTTTTTTTCCCTGTTCCTCGAGTCTCATCCCTTCTCAGCTGCAATCAACTTGTGTTGAAATAGTTACGCAGGCACTGACTCTTCAATACGTCACCCAAAAAGGCTATTCTTCATGTAAATCAGATCAGGAAACCAGATTTCCTGCTCTGAATTGTTTTATGGGAATTAAGGAGGGGGTGCAGTTACGTGCAGTTGCAAAGGTTCACTACCCAGCACCATAGGGAAGTGTGACAATCTCTCTAACAACATTAAAAAATATCCAATTGATTTCAAAAGAACTTTTAAACTTCTTGCCTCAGATTAGAAATTATCTGAAACCCCATTCCACTTCCTCTTCCACCATTAGTGAACTGAAAACTTCCATAAAGATTTTAAAATAAAGGAGAAATGACAACTGCAGTAAATTAACTAGTTGCTATTACAGGACACAAGATAAAAGCACATAATTATATCTCATTAGCATGAAAGTATTAATAAGTTTTACATTGATAATAATAATTATTGCCTTAGCTCATCATTGAATCATCTCAAAGCACTTTGCAGGATTTATTTAAAATATAGTAACTGCATTTGTACACACATGCTGCACATAGCAATGTCCCATAAATAGCCATAAAGTGAAGAAACAGATTTATCTGGGGAACATCTGTGGCACAATATAAAAATACAGGTGAATAAAGATTAAAAGTCAAATGTATCATGGCTCATTGCCACCTGAAATTGAATTTGGTTTAGTTTTGTAATATATGATTCCATTGTATAAGATACACAATTTTTAAAAATAAAAAAAATCCACAAGCAAATAAAAAATCCACAAGCACCCTTCTGCACTTCTTCTGTACGACTTTGTGACAGAAAATCTTACAAAGTAAATTTAACAGCAAAATGAAGCCAGCACGTCAACTCCGACATTAACACAGGAGAATCAGTTGGCATTGTACTGTGATGCTCTTAATTAAGTGTTCAGTCACAGGGAAATTAGGCATCATGAATTGTAATTTAGAGTTTATGCTGAGTAATTCAGTGTCTTACATGTGTGTAAAAAAAGCCATTCTGGCCAGTAGATAATTTCCTTGTTAAGTGGCCACCTGACATTAAGCAGGGTACTTCAAATTACCTGAAGAGAACATGTCAAAGCACACATGGAAGGATCTTACACAATACGGTCACAGCAGCATTATGACCATATACTAAGTGAAATAGTGGTGATTTCAGTTGAAAAATTAAATGCTTCAAAAAGCACACTAGCAAAGCATTAAAGCCCCTTTTCTTAATTGTGTTTTTCCTGCAGCATATCAGTATTGATACTCTACATATTCATTGTGGCAAAATAAGTCAAGCAAACTTGTGGCATTTCTTTAATAAAAATTGGAAAATACTCAGATAACCAACATGAATTGCGCATAAAATGCTCCTTGTAGCAATTTAGCACTCCAGTCAAATAGGCAAGATTACTGCCAATCCACCTTAACTACGATAAACCACTCTCAGTGCCAAAACTCATACAATTCTCAGTGTCTATCTGCTACCTAACCCACTATGATGGACTACATAGGATGCATGATCAAACTCCTGCCCCTTCCTGAATTATATATTGCTATATTGAATTACAACAAAAGGAGGAAGGGAAAAATATATTGGTACCAGGAGTTCATATAGTAGTTTATTGCAGAATGCAACTTACAATAAATTCACTCTGCACAAATGTGGCATTGTAAAATCAGTACTCGTCTTTATGAAATCACATGTGAAACTGTAGTGCTACAGGTCTTTTTCCACGGGTTTCAGACGCCCTAGGAGGCATAGAGGTCTTGTGAGTAAACTAGTTCTATCAGGATTTCTGTAATTTCTAACAACGAATGCATCAGAATACTGTATCATGCAGAAAACCATGTCTGTATTCATCACACAACAGTTCTCAATTAATTTCAAGAACATCAACATAAAGTCGGGAAAACAAAGATATAGTAAAGAATTATACATGAAACAGATCTGATTTGTTTTTTTACCCCGTTCATCATGTGAGATTACAGAAAGAGTGTTTACTTAATGTTGTTAATATTTTATTTGCCAGAATACTTCTTCTGTTCTGTGACCTATTAACTCCACACCAATCTGTCTGCTCCCTCCACTCAGCGGTCTGCTCCACATCCCCGCCCAGCCCCCTAGCCATTGGCGGTCAAGCCTTCAGCCTTTCTGCCCCACCCTTTGAAATTCCATCCCACAGTCCCTTTGCCTCACCCCCTCCCTTGCCTCCTTCAAGGCCCGACCATGCCTGTGGTCAGCCACCTCCCCAATGCTCCCTACCCTCCACTCCTCCTGATCCCAGCACCTTGGGACGTCCACCCAATGTGAAAGACGCTATACAAATATAATTTCTTCTTGTTCTATCAGAGCAAAATTACACAGAAATAGGCTCTTCTTTCATCTAGGTCATATCAAATATTCCTCAGTATTAAAATTACAGCTAAAACATGGAATGGACAAGGCAATTGTTTGAGCAACAAGATGACAGCATTAAAACTGTAATGATATACTGTGCCCCAGTCGTAGGCAATGGGTGTGCACCAGCAATCTCTATGCAGTTTATTTTCAGTTTGTATTACTGTGTGAAAGGTGTGCTTCCCAAGAGGAATCAGAGATTTGATCATCCTGGAAATCCATTTGTATGACTACAGCAGAATCAGTAGATGAGGAAGCTCACTGTGAGACACTGAACAGTAAATGCGCATAACACAGCAAAATAGGAAGAGAAATCAACTAAAATAGTCACTGATTTTGAATAGTTTTGATTAGGTATCAGTCTTGTTCAGGTGATTGCATTCTAGAATCCAAGTCATAAGTTTATGGATTGAAGTCCCACATTGGTGAAATGCTGGTCTGAGAGTTGCATGGTTGGAAGTGCTAGCGTTTGGATGAAACATCAAACTGAGGTCCTGTCTCCTGGTTCAGGCTGATGTTAAAAATCCCATTTGCAAAGAGAGTTTCTCCTACAGTAAAACTCTCATAAGTCATATCAGTGGGGACCTTAACATTTAATATAACTTACTCAAAGCACAAGTTGCAGGCACACTGTAGAAGTCATAGAAAATCCAATTTAATCAATAATCTACACTGCACGTGCGTAATTTAATTTAATGCAGCCTGTAAGTGAGCATGCAGAGTCCAGTTCATCACTGCAACCGCTAAATGTGCAAGCTGAAATTGGTCATTGCAGCCAGTAAGCCTACACTTCCCACGGTTCAATGCGTCTTCACCAGTCACCGAATGCCCACTTACCGGCAAACATTGGAATCAAATTAAATTGCGGGAAACTAAGCTCTTCTGTGCATACATAGGAGAGCATTGTTACAACTTAGATTTTTTTTACACAACTCATATTATTCACCAACTAAGTGGTTTTGATAGGAAACTGAATGGGACTCAAGTTAATGTAGGCATTTTTATATGATTAATAACAATAAGATGTATGCTAGTTTTACTATTATTATTATTAGTACCTTGGCTAACAATTTTCGAACAAAGCCGGATATTAAAGTCAAACTTAAAATTGCTCATTCACTTCATGGCTGCTTGTGAATCACTACCGTGTGCAAATTGACTGTTGTGTGTGCCTACAAATATGCAGTCACTACACTTTACAGTAAATCCTGTAAAGCACTTAAGAGACATCTCGTCAATATAAGGTTAGCTCTTTTGGATAGCTCTTTTCAAAGAGCTGACACAGACACGATGGGCCAAATGGCCTCCTGTGCTGTGTAATCCTATGAAGACTCTATATCAAATGCTCGGATTATTATCCCTGAAAATTAAATCAAAGAAAAATCACATTATTTGTACAATGTGCCCAGTATTTTAGAGCGAGTCGCTGCTATCTCGCTCCTCCTTTGGGAAGTTTCATTTTTCTAGATCTCCGAAACGCCAACTTTGATAACTCCGCAGTACCGAGTTACACACACTGCGCAGGTCAGTGAAGCACCACTCACATCGCCTCCATAATCGCTCTCAGTAAAGCACAGAAAATCGGTCGTTCACTTCACGGCCGTTTGTCGGACGCCACAGTCTGCAAAGTGACTGCTGTGTTTGCCGACAAAATACGCAGTCACTACACTGGACATTAAACCGTGTAAAAACACTTCCGAGTCTGTGTTTTCTGTCGGTCTGTCTGTCTGTCTGTCTGTCTGAGTCGCGGCTTAAGACGGCCGCTCTCCCCAACCCGGGGGGGAGACATGGCAGAGTCCGGGGGCGGCAGGTGCCGGGGATCTCCTCCTGGAGGCAGACATTAACGACACACAAACGGCAATGAGGGCGGGCGGGGGGCGGGGGGATCCTGACCGGGGCGCCGCTGACTGAGCCCCGATGGCGGTCTCTCTGCACGACCCTCTCCCGCTGCCCCCTCTGACCAGGCCGCGCCGCCCCGGCCTCACCGGCTCCTCCACCAGTTGCTCGGCGCCGGCGCCGCGCTCACCCGCTCCTCCCGCCGGTGGCACAGAGCGAGGGTAGGAGCGGCGTTCGCTCGGGAAAGCCCGAGGCTCCGGCTGGCCGAGCCCAAGCCCCGGGCGGGCACAACCACCCAGGGCCCGGGGAGAGCGCGGGAGAGGCCGAGGCCGCGGCTCCTCCGTGAGAACAACGTGGTCAAAACCCGCTTCACCCACCTGGTCCCGGAGTTTCAGGAAAACCATGGCCCGCGGCGGCGCTGCTGGTGTCGGCCCGGGCGGCAGTGAGGCTCAGAGGCTGGAGGGAGGCACCGGCAGGACAGGCCTCGGCTGCGGGCGCCGCTCGCTTTGAGTGAAGAGCCGAGAGGAGCGCGCGGCCAAGCGGGCGGCAGGACACAACATCACCGCGGCCACCCCGCAACATCCGCTCCTCTGACTGGCTGCCGCTAGCCCCGCCCACCCAGCAACAGCCCCCGTGATCATTCCCTGATCATATTGTCTATCACCCACTCCAGCCCCGCCCACAGCCACAGCCCCGCCCACAGCCCAGGTCAGCCCCGCCCACCAGCCACAGCCCCGCCCACAGCCGCAGCCCCGCCCACAGCCACAGCCCCGCCCACAGCCACAGCCCCGCCCACAGCCCAGGTCAGCCCCCGCACCGCCCACGCCCACCGCCCCGCCCACCGCCCCCGCCCACCGCCCCGCCCCAGGCCCCGCGCCAGCCCCAGCCCCCGCGCCAGCCCCAATTCCGCCCACAAAGAGTGAGTCATAGACAATATGATCATAGAATTATACGGCACAGAATGAGGTCATTCAGCCCATCGTGTCTGTTCCGGCTCTTTGAAAAGAGTTATCCAAATTAATCCCATTCCCCCACTCTCTCCCCATAACCTGCAAACTTGTCCTCCCCAAATAATGATCTACTCTCTTAAAAGTTGCGTGAAGGTGCACGACTCTGAACCAGGGGGATTGAGAGGTGACATGGTAGACATGGTTGAACAGGAAGATCGTCAGGCACGACCTGAAAATGGGGAAGGAAGGGGCAAGGCGGAATGATAGAGGAAGGGTGTTCCCGAGTTTCGGGGCACAATGGCTGAAAGTTCAGCCACCAATGCTGTAAAGAGAGCACAAGAGACATGCAGAAGGCCGGAGCCAGTGGGTTGTGGGGTAAACAGGTCGGAGAGGTAGGGAGGTGCCAGGACCTGAAGGGATTTGAAAATGAGTGCGAGGATCTTGAAATTGACTCGTTCGGCAATAGGGAGCCAGTGGAGCTTGGCTGGAACAGGTGTGATCGGGGTATGGAGTTCAGCACAGTTAAGCAGAGGGAGTTTGGGATCAGTTGGATCCTGTGCATGGTGGAACTGGGGAGACCGACAAAGAGGGCATTTGAGAAGTCAAGCCAGGAGGTGACGAACACATGGGCGGATCTTTTGGCTGAGTCTAGGGTAAGGTACTGTCGGAGCTGGGTAATGTGGTAGAGGTGGAGGAAGGCAGGCCTGGTCAGAGACTGGATGTGGAGAAGGAAGGACAGCTGTGTGTTGAACTGACGCCTAGGTTGTGCACTGGTTTAGTACAGCTGAGGGATAAGCTGGGGAGGTTGAAGAGCTCAGAGTCATGGGATGATGATGACGGGAGCCAATGAGTATTTTAACTGTACAATAGCTAATATAGTGGTTACTAAAACCAGGTTCAATTACTTCAAAGAGAAAGCTAATCAGGCTTAGTCACAATGCTGGAATTTTAACAAATATGTCACTCCCACATAATGGAAATAAATTATTCTTCGGTGCCAAAGTTGGTTGATTATCACACAATCAAATCTCACAGTATCAGGATGTATATAGCAAGCAGGAGGTCATGTAAGCTATTGAGAATCTTTGGATACTGAAAATGAACAATATGGCAGAAAAAATACTTGAGTTTCTGTTGGGTTGAAGGAATGCTTTAAAAGTTTGCTTTTATAAAGTTTGTTTTATTTCAAAATCTTATAACTATCTTCTGGCATAGTTGCACATTTTATTTACACAATAACAATGGGGGGAATAGTAATAATCCTTGCATTTGATATAGCTGGAAAGAGTTACCTGGAATCTGAGTTCATGAACACGTATTCATACAACAACAAAATTACATTTATAGAGTGCCTTTCACATCAGGAGGATGTCCCAAAGTGCTGAACAGTCAGGTGTCGAGGCCCAAGCATAGGGGAGGAGGTGTAGAGGTGAGGGAAGGCAGAGAGGTGGGAAGGCGACCAAAGGCACAATCGAAGAGAAGGGAAGAGAGGAGAGGCGGTGGAGAAGGATTGAATGGTCCATGGTGTCAAAGGTAGCAGAGAAGTTGAGAAGGATGAGGAGACAGAAGGAACCCTGATCGCACATGGTCAGGATGTCGTTTGTGACCTTGACCAGAGCAGTTTCTGTGCTGTGGGAAGCACGGAAACCTGATTGGAGGGGTTCATGGAGGGAGTGCGAGGAGAGGAAAGAACGAAGCTGGGAGGCAACGGCTCCTTCAAAGACCTTGGATAGGAAAGGGAGGATTGAGATGGGCCGGTAGCTGTATAGCTGCAATGGGTCAAGGGAAGGTTTCTTCAAGATGGGGGTGGTAATGGCTAATTTGAGTTGGGAAGGAACAGTGCCAGATGACAGGGAGAGGTTGATGACGTCAGCGAGGGGTGGGGCAAGGAGTTGGAGCTGGGATTTAAGGAGAGGGGTGGGGATGGGGTCTAGAGAGCAGTTGGTGGGCTACATGGAGGATATGGTAGTGAAGACAGAGGAGGGGTTGACAGGTTCAAAGGTATGGAAGGAGGGATGGGTAATTGTCAGAGTGTGGGGTGGGGTTAGGGAGGGGGTGGAAGTTGGGGGGGCAGTGGCAGCTGAGCAGATTCCCTTGATTTTGGATTTGAGGAGGTTCACTTTCTTTTTTTGTCGCAGTGAAAGTCAGAGGAAAGAATCTGCGAGGCAGGGAGGGAAAAGGAGTTGGTTGTGGAGAACAGGAGCCTGGTGTTGCCCTTCACCTCCAGAATTAACCTGGAATAGAAGGACGATTCGGCTGAGGCGAGAGCTGAGCAGTAGGTTTTCATGAGGTCCAGCTAGACGGTGAACCGTTAAGCCGGATTTGAGCCAAGTGCGTTCGGCAGCCTACACCTGGCCCTTTAGCGAGTGGAGGTGGCTGATGAACCAGGGTGAGGATCGGGAATAGGAGGCAGTTTGGGTGGTGAGGGGGGCAAAGACGTCGAGTTTGGTGGAGAGGGTGCTGTGGAGAAGAGTAAGCGCAGCGAGTGGGTTAGTGTGAGAGGTGGGCCAGAGGGGGAGGAATTCGGAGGACTCCAGGGTAGAGGAGAGGGACTGTGGGGAGATCTTCTTCTATGAGCAGTAGAAGATGGTGGTAGGTTTGGAGGCAGTGGGGAGAGGGATATAGGAGTTGAGGGAGATTAAATGGTGGTCAGAGATGACCTTGTCAGTGATGGTGATATCCGAGATGCTGAGGCCCCAGGTGATCACCAGGTCAAACGGGTGACCATGAGTGTGGGCAGCAGAGTGGATGTGGAGGGAAAGGTTGAGAGAGGAGAAGAGAGAGAAGTCTGACGAGTTGGAGCAGGAGGGGGTGAAGTGGAGGTTGAAGTCGCTTAGAATGATACATCCAGTGTCTGGAATCCACCTCGATTGGCCTGCAGAGAGGAAGCAACTGCTACGTAAACTCCATACCTCCAACTGATTTGACCATTGCTCAATGGGAAGAGATGTGTATCCGAGCTGGGGACAGGAAGATGGTGGCCACGGTCTTGCACATTTCATGCTGAGCTGTGTGGCTCACCAGGAAGCTTGCAAGGAGTTTTTGATAACCATCATCCACCTCGTGAGGGTTCAAACCTACACGTTGAATGTCAAATGACCAACCAGTGACTATCCTCGGGGGGGGAGGGGGGTAAGCAGGATCTCCTTGGAGCTGAACTTGCTCCAAAATGACACGTTTGGCAATGAAATTGAGGCTACCCTCTGTGATAGTCCCAGTGCTCCAGTTCCTGAGTGAAGCAAATCCACAATACTCAAGGACATTATTGATGATAGCACAGCCAGCCTGGCTCATCGGCAGAACTTGGAGAGCCAGACCAGTCACTGGGGTAAGGCACCTCCAATTCAGTTCCTATTAACCCAGGAGGCCAAAGTCCATAGATATGGTGGTCCTAGCTGGAGAAGCCTCAGGAAGACTTTCGAGGCAGCGGATCAATGGATAGTTACGAAATTTTAGCTGGTTAGACACCAACAGTACCTCAACGCTCACTCTGGGATCCCCAAGCCTTGGCTCTTGCCAACCTGCGCCTAGTGCTTTCCATGATTAGGTAAACAGATGCATCCCTCCAGGGAGAGTGCACATTCCATTCCAACAAATATCCCTGGAATTTCCATGTGTAGGTGGGGTGCATGGAAATCAGTTTGGTTTGGATACTCTTAAACATGGTAATGGGTTTCCGCATGTGTCAGACACCCGGCTGACCAAGAAAAATATAGCACCATATCACATTGTCGAAACATCACATGACCGTCTATTTATGCACAGCAATGCCTGAAAAGCAGCCTGAAGTGAATGCCCAATTTTATTTGGAAGATTGCTGGCAGGACACCAGAAGAACACTCTTCTCATTTAAAATAGTGCCATGGGATATTTAACATCTACAGAATAGGTAGAGGGGTCCTTGATTTAACATCCTTTCAAATGGACTCTACCTATAACAATGCAGCACTCCCCCACCATTGAACTGGAGTGTCAGCTCAAACATCTCAACATCTGGTTTGCCTAATTCACAGCTACAAGCACTGTTGGGATAGCTTTAATTTTTAATCAATCAGGATCCCCAGGTACTTTTCATGTTCCACACAGATTATTTTCTTACCACTTAAATAGGCCCTTCCTGGATGTTTTGTCTCCATTAGAAGCACTTCGCATTTCTCTATATTAAATTTAATCTGCCATCGATCTGCCCAATTCTCAAGTTCCTGTAATCTGTCCTGTTCATCTTCACAGTCTACCACCTTCACTAGCTTTGCGTCATCTGCAAATTTAGCCACTGTGCTTGGAACTCCTAGCTCCAGGTTGCTTATAAAGTATTAAATAAAAGAGGTCCCAAAACAGACCCCTGAGGAACTCCACTGGTAACATTCTCCCAGCCTGATGACATTCACTGTGCCACCACCTCCTGGGTTCTATCAGTCAGCCAATTATGTATCCATTGCAAGATACTTCCCGGTTCGCACTTTATTTTCAGTACCAGCCTTTCATGAGGAACTGTTTCAAAGGCCTTACTGAAATGCAAATATACAACATCCACTGCCTTACCCTCATCAAGCTCCTTTGCCAGTAAATTGGTTTGGCAGGATCTTCCCTTCCAAAACCCATATTGGCTATCCTTCATTTTATAAAATGCCTC